CATTTCTTAAACCGTGGTGATTACTGATTAGATAAGTTACATGATATTTGTTTATGGAAGTTATAAACTCATATTATTTTTTGATAATCAATAGTTTTTGAAGAACTAGAATTTGGAAGTATGAAATGACAATCAGTACTCGACACTGATACATTAAATTGGTAAAGTACCTAGGTGCTTAATATTAGAAAAGTTATTCCGTGGTACAAATAGCTATTTCTTGTAGTTTTGTAATTGCATATGTTCTCAATAAGTACCCATTTCATTTTATAAATATGTATTAATATTACAGGAAGACCTACGGATTTTATTCATGAAAAGAGCCACTGTCAAATGAAATCTACAATGTGCAGGAATGTAATGGAACATAACTATACAAATTTGGAAATATCTGTACTTTGGTTACCTAGGTATGTGCCTAAATATAAATTAATTTATCTACCATATTATTATGTGTTTATTATTATCTGATTTTTACAATGGTATAACAAATTTTAATATTTTGGCAAATTGTATTAAATGTCAAAACAATATAAACTATGGCCAAATAAACCTTACTTTGTCATAAATGTAGATACCTACTACTGTTCTGATACAGACAATTTTAATCACAATAACACCATTAGTATCAATTATTTATTTTCCTTATATTCATATTTAGAAAATCATTATTACTTATTGCAGGCAAATACTTTTTTTAAATTTCAGACACAAATAACAATTGTAAAAATGTAAGTACATTATAAGTATATACAGCCGTATAGGTACCTATATTTTGTTTTAATAAGATACTTTGTATAATTTAGAGATTGGAAATGACTGTGCACTCTTTTGAAATATTCATTACCATCTATAATGTGTGATCCAACTGGCCCGATAAGCAAAGTATTCAAGGTGTTTGAATTAAAAACTTCTATAGCAGTGTTTTTGTTTTGTCAGAAACAAATAGAAAACAGACACGACGTTATTGACAATGAAAACGATTTAATTAGTGAGTGCTTATGAACATATTGTATAATATATACATTTTAATTTCATTAATAATATTGTATCATGGTTCTGATTTATTAGACAAATTAGAAACTGAATACATGCTCAAAGTAATATTATTGGTTTTTAATATAAATATATTAAAAAATATAATATCTTGATATTATATGTTTATTACTAAATTGTGTTTCAATTTTAATTTTTAGCTGTGTCTTAAAAAAACATGAATGAGGACCTGGTTTCTATTAGATTTGAATTTATATATCAACGATGAAATGAATATCCGATTTTATACTATTGACTGATTATCATTCTAACAGATGATTTTTTTATGTATCCCATGGAATGGATTTAACATAAAATATACATAATATCATTAGCCATCAGCAAAACACATTTTCTTTATTTATTATTAATATTAAACTATACTCAATACTATTAAATAACAGAACAATTTTTAACCTACATATTATGGAAAATAATGGATATATTTTAATTCAGGCTCATATTATTTATTGCTGAGTAAAGATTACCTAAAATTAATCCATATGTGTTTAGTAATTATATATAGTCTAAAAAATGTTTTATTAATTTGTAATATGTCAATAAATATAAAATATATTTTGTGATGTTGATGAAAATTATAGTAATCGAGTATCAAAAATTGAAAAATCAACACAAAGAAATACTTTAATGATTTCCGTTTGACATAATGGTCAAATGGTAATATCTTATGAAAAACATATTGTCCCAACTAGAAGTAATTTAAATTTGAAATTAACGTTAGATTACAAATATTAAATTTAATTATATTTATTATGATATTTACAGTTGTACCTATAATATGTTTTTCATTTTATAATTTATAGAAATTGGAGAAGATTTTGTACTATTTTGACCAATTACAATACAGAGGAGTAATTTGAAGGAGAAAAATTTGAATCAGCTGAAGATGAATAGTTCACATTTGCACTTCCAGATTAGCCAATCAAGAGATTGTTTGGGGGAGGTGATGCTATACCTTCTTGTGGTCTCCCCTGTGAGTAGTGTGAATCTTAGCGTAATTTTTCAAAGTCAATATACTGCGAACTCTACAATGTTCACATGAAACGAAATAGCATCAAAATCGACAGCCAAACATCACCAGACCTCTACTAATATTATGACCCTACTTGTTTGAAAACATTATATTGTTCATTAGTTGAATACGGTCAAATTATATGGAGTCGTTTTCAAACCGGTCTCATAACTAACATCGAAAAACTACAAAAACGTTTTACAAATTTGTAAAAATTGACACCCAATTCTAACTTATTAACTTAAAAACTTAATCTTCAATGCTTTTCAGATACATAGTTTAATTATGATATTATTTTCTTACATGATTCTTACACGATTCTCATGCGGGTGGCAGCATCGAGTGACAATCAGTTCAGATACATGTCTAAAATAGAGACTAAATCTAAATCTCATTATTATTATTATTATTACAAGGTCACCAACCTAAATCCGAGATCCGTAAACCGGGGGCTGGTAAACTCCTACAAAAGTTGCTAATCAACTACTATTGCAGGAGATTAGCTATCCTATTATCCTACTATTATCCAACTATTAACATAGTTGTAACTCCTACAATAGATAGTGTTAACTCCTACAAAAGGAAGAGTTTATAACTGATTTTTACTTATTTTAAAATACCTAATTTTACTTTTTACACTTTACAACTATCTAGTGAAAAGTTAACATATTTTTTGTTTGAGTTAACACTATATTTTGTAGGAGTTAACATTTTGTCAATGTAGATTACCCACTTTGGTAGGAATTTACCATTCCATTACCTGTAAGAAATATCGCTGACAGTAACAAGTGATTTATGCCCCACATGTATTAATTACCTCGTTGGGTATGAATCGCCAATAGTAGGTAATAATATAAAATATGAACAAAGATAGGAAAGTTAAATAAAATACCTATTCGGTATAGGTATCACAGATTGGCGAATTATAACTTGTATTTTTATTTTAAAATATCTTTTCCTTATGTAATTTAATATACGACTAATATTTATCAGTGGCGTATTTGTGCGGGGTGTGATGGGGGCGACGCCCCCTATAAATTAATTTGTTTAGGTATTTTCAATATACATTTGTTATGTATGTATTGTATGTACAAATATATAATGTTGCTAGAAAAGTGTTATTAGACATAAGTAAAAATAACAACACTTATTGGTAAGATATATAAGGGTGGAATTATCCTATATTATGTAATAGAAGTGGCCAAACTGCGGCTCTCGTCATAGACTCATGCGGCTGGCATCTTATCATTAGATACAAATCATTTTTTCAAAGATTTTTTATATGAATTTATGTATTTGAAGAAGTATAATATTTTATAAAAAAATTTACAAAAATAATATTATTATATTAGTATTTTTAATATAATATTTCAATGTGTATTTTTTTTTTTAATTTTAATGTATTTACAATTATTAGTTAATATCTTATTTGTTGTGTTGTTCACTTTTTTTTTTTTAAGTTTTCGAAGTCAGGATTATACGTTGTTATAGAGGTCCTTATTTATAATTCAGCTAAATGATCATATGTTAAAATTGAACGATGTTTAGATTTTATTATTTTTATTGTCGAGTATAAAAACTCCTAAGAATATGTTGTTCTGAAAATTCTACACATTTTATACATATTTTTATATTTTATCTTCTTAACGATAATCATATATTTATATTATAAATGGGCTAAGGGGAAAAACCATAATAAAAATAATAATAATAATAATAAGTATAATAAATTTGGAAAAAATTTAAAATACTGAAACTTTGAATGCTCTTAATCTGTCAGTTTTTTATTCATGGTTTATTTCATTAAAAAATGGATAGTGAAATGATAACCTTAATGAACCAGCTAAATCCAATACATGAAATAATAAATGTTTCTTGATGTATTTTGATAGAAAAATTATTTACAGAAACTGAAAAAACATAATTAAAAAATATACATTAATAACCCAGCTTATACGCTCAGAAATTAAAATTATTGCAATATGCGATCATTTTTTTTTTTATTTTACCACTAATAACACATTTTTATAAATGGTGAACTTAGTTTCAAACTGACGAGCATTTTTGCAACGTCCACATAAATCAAATAAAATCAAAAAAACTCTGCAATTTCAAATGGTTTTAAACTGCTTGCAGAATAAAAGTCGGAACAGATATCTGTTTGAATAGGTACAATGTTATACGCATTGCGTTATTGGTTTTCAAAAGCCGCATGAGCGTATATTCATGTTAAAGATTAATTCGTATTAATGAATTATTCATCGCAACCGCATCGCGATTACAAACCGACCGCCACTACAAATTAGTGCAAGGTCAACCGCCTACCAATGATTTTTGGAAGTTAGGGCGGACTACGCCCTTGCGTCTGTATCGAAAGAAGTACACAAGTCCCCGCCCTATAGATTCCGAACGGGGTATATATAAGTAGCGGGACGCCCGTCATCGGCATCACACTCACAACACAACTCCCGAGTCGACCATAGGTTAGGTAGGAAGCAAAACCCAGCGATGACGGAGCAAGAGTAAAGAAACAAGCTTTTATCGCCGCCGTCCCTGCTCGTAAGCGTCACATATTTTATGATGATCTACTTCAAAATATTTTTTGGTATAATACAAAACAATATTTGTTTACATCGAGCCGTTTTTTTTCCAGCGGTTCTCGCTTATTCCGCTTCCGCCCCGGGATCCTTCTCGTACGGATACTCCACGTACGGCGCCTACCCGTACGCCTATCCTGCTCCGTTACCGTACGCGGCAAAGGCCGCTTATGCCGAAGACGACGGTAGCTACTGGCCCGGCAAGTACGAGAAGATCTACGTCCCAGCTCCCTACCCGACCGTCTACCACTACTGAACCGCACCGTCCCGTCAACTATTCTCAACGTCACGCCTACAATAAATAATTATTATTACTTACCCGTATCGTTATATGATACGTTTTTTTTTTCAAAAATAAATATGTGATCTTGTTTTTTTTTTTCATCAATCGTGGCGTTCGTTTTATTCATTGATTCATCCGCACATCAGTGTCTGATGAATCAATGAATTCTCAATTTATATGTATTTCTATTAAAAAAATGTAAAATCAAATTTTACATTGAAACGGGTAGCTATTTCCTTTTAACGAGAATACTGAAAGATTTATTAGAATATGATCATATTTTATTATAGAAACCTGAAATAGTCTATATATACCTACAAACCAAATATTTAAATCTTTAGATTATAGGTGGGGAATTGGGAAGTTAAGTTAGATATAGTTCAATAAATTTATGCCTGTACATAATGATAAATTTCTAACGAAATGCCAAAAGAGTTTTATTCACATAAATCTGAAAATATGTCTTCGGGAAATGCCGTGATTTTTACAACTTTACTCAAAATTTGAATTTAATACTTTCAAAAAAGAAAATCTTGAGTATGAATTTTTGATATATTTAAAGTGCCACAGTAATAATTTATAATATATTTTTAAAGTAAACAATTTAATTTTTTTAAGACTTTATTTAGAGGAAAGCTTTCCCTGAAATCTTTATAAACCATTTTAAATGTCAGAGCTCCGTCAAAGATCTCAAATTCTCCCCCATCTTCCATTTTGTATTATGGAAATATTCTTTAAAAAAAAAACATTAAATAACCGATTGCTATAATGCCATAGTGTTATTATAACCTAATATAATCTAATGCGTAAAGACATAAAGTGAGTAATAATCCAATATTACTTCTAAAAAAATATCAAATTTTGAGCACACAATCAGTAAGAATAAGGATTAAAATTTAAAACACAGAAATGGGATATTCCTAACACTAACACTGTACTGTTGCAATTTTCGACTGGAAGCGTGAGTAAGAAAATTATGGAGGCAATTTTAAAAATTGTATAAAATAAAAAATTTAATACAAATAAAAACAATATGTTACAAAGCAATTGTAATTTTATTAATATATATCAAAATATTTCTAAATTTCATAAAAAAAAAATCACTCAATGTAAATTTTCTTCAAATTTAAAAATGCTATAAATCAATAAATGTTAAATTTAGGTCAATGAATCAAAATGACTTTAAAAAAATGGTCTATTCATAATATCTGGTGACAACAAAAATAAAGGTTACTATTTAAAAAAAAGTAATTTTAATTGCTCATGAACGCGCTGAAAGGTTAAAAACTGAAAATCATCTCGAGTTTGTACTTCGGTTCTCTCCATCATCACCTACCGAAAATCCCATTTCAAGGTCATTGGGCTGAGATATTTAATGGTACATACCTGTAAGATGGGATACACTGTAGATAATATTTGTATACTTTGTATTATACTTCTATAATTTGTGTATTAAATTATGTTTGCCAAACTAAAATACCATTTAGTTTGTAGTTTAAATTGCCAGTGAACTGCAAAAGGCTTTATCGATTTTTTGAAATTCCTTAGCCTTCTTTGAATTTTCTTATCTATTGCCGATTTTGATACACCAGGAAGTTTATGAAAACAAATATACAAAATTCAAAATGCACTATGTACAAATTATATTTAAATAGGAGATACAAATTACTAATTGTCTTTTTACAAAATATAATTTGTAGGTATTTTTAAATAGGGACAATCACAATACTAATATCTTACATATTTTGCGCCCAATATGGTGTATATAGAGGTACATAATTTCCTAACACTAAGTAGGTATTTGTATTATTTTTTTTTAATGTATTAATTTGTAATTTTACTTTAGATATATGATAATATATAAGTTCAAGGGTTAGTTCACTCGATCATTCTTTTAATAGTATAAGGTGTGTACAAAAATAAAATTCATCGAAGATTAACTATTGTATACTCGTATATTGCCCATGTGTTATGTAAATAGTTTGTACATGCGTTATATTTTAATACAATATTATTAAGATCTCCAGAGACAAAAAAAAAATCTGATACTGATCTGATGATGTAAATTTTACAATTACCAATTCAAATTTGAACTTCAAACGTGTATATAAAAAAAATTCTAAATTGTGCTAAACTTTTTTATTTTGGCTATTAATATAACTGATGATGGACTTCAACAGTCAAATTAAATGAATTTCACAATGTCCAAACATTTCTGATCGGCCAAAATAATTTTGTACATATAAAACCAAATTAAACTAAAAATATTTACTTAATAATGTCATCAAATGCCTATAAATAGTTTAAAAACCACCAGAATGTTTTACAAATTTCATAAAATCTAAAAAGGCCAATATAGTAGTATTCCGTGAATATTTCAGATCCACAATTATTTTTAATCGAACAAAACAAAAAATCGAAAATAATGAAATAATTATTTCAGTATACATTTTCTTGTGTTTTTTTTTCGTTTTTTAAAAAACGTAAAAACGTATCTTATTTCCGGTTTATCTCAGTTATACAGAAATATTTCGCTGCTACACTTGAATTTCAGAGTAAGAATCTTGGTTTAAAAACAAAACCGAATAAAGTGGAAGTAATGATACTTTCGTTGCCGTGAATTTATCGATTTTTTCTACACATTTTTTTTAAAAATTGTTCCCAATTATTATGAAAACTGCTAAGACTGCAACGATTGCGTGTTAATTTTTTTTTTTGTCCAATGAATTTGGCAATGGTAATAATAATATATTACACTAGTCATAATTTTTGGGAAAAAAAATATTCAATTTACTAAGCGGATAATAAAAAATTAAATTACGTATAAAAAAAAAAAAGATCTTATATCATACTGATGGGTGTGCCACTGTTGTATTTGTGGGAAGTTCGGTAGGTTGGTCGTTGGTAATAATATATAGTTATTTAATTAACAACTTCGCGCAACGATAAATCATTTAACAATGATTCTGAATGAAGTTCGATTGAACATGTTTTGAAAAATCATAATTTTCATGGTTTTCATAAAAATTTAAACTTAACAATTTCATAAAAAAATTATCTCATTACGCTGAACTTTTTTTTAGACCATTAGATATAAAATTATGATTCACCTCGTGTTAAATTTACGAACATTTACGTCCAAGACAATTTTTCCCACATAAACCTAAACAATGAAATAAATTTAAAATGGCTTAAACACCTCCAAAATCGCTAGAAAGTTTTGAAAATGTTACCGGATTTAGAATGGGATAATATATAAGAACACTCAGTGAAAACTTCCGGTCTCTGCGATTATCTTCAACACAATTAAAATAAAAAGCCCAAAACTGCTGATATATGTAAGTCACTGTTTTAGCAAGAAATTTCGAAGGGAATATATATTATATAGAGTAATTCAATTTATGTCTGTACGAAACTAGGTACAAACTACTGTTTTACAAACACGGTTTTCCCCCTATTTCTTCGTAAAAACAGCTGGAAAAATCAAAAAATAATCTCCTTGAAATACTACCTCAGTTAAATTTCCTTTTAAAAAAAGAGTTATATACTTAAAAATCTGAGTAAAATTGCTGGGAGAAAAATAAATAAACATTGTAAAACTAATACATTCCTCGCTCCGCTCAGAATCTAAAATACATATTTTGACCATTTACGGCGTTCTAACAAATTGAATATTGCAAATAGTCTTTTTGTAAGTCAATTTTTCAATCATACGACATACTAATATCATAGATATGAATTTTACGATTTTTTTTTATGTGTAATAAACAAATATAAAAAATTTAAAAAAAAATTATACATAAAAATAAAAAAATAATTAATTAATACATCTGGAGTATTATACGACCGATTTCGAATCAGGTATATCACAGTCAAAATGTAAAACTTGACTGATTATAAAAAATTAAATTGTAGTACGAAATATCAAAATAAGATGTTTAATGAATTCGCTAAAATTTTGAACAATAATACAAATAATTTAATCAAACATGTAAACAATAGAACTAAAAACTTCACAAAAACTCCTCCTTCCTTTAAAAATGCTGCTATATATGAACATAAATGTAACTGTAATACATTTTATACAGGTTAGACAAATAGATATTTTAAAATAAGATATAAAGAACACATTTCTGAAAGAAAATTAAAAGACTGCTTCTAATTCAAATTTCGCCAAACGTGTTTTAGAAAATAATTATAATATAAAGCTTTGATATTAATACAGACTCAGGGACATAAAATATCCAAAATAACATTTACATTAATTCAGTTTTAGAAGAATGATGTATATACATATATACAATGAAACAAAGAAAAATAATTTAATAATATTTTAAATGCAAAAACCAATTTTAAAAATAATTTCTTATATCAATACATTTTAGATAATAAATATTAACCAAACAATTGATATTTCTTAAAATATCTATGTCTAATAATAACCCATATTAAATAATCTCTTCAATTAAAATAAATTATTTCGATATGAAACGGCCAATTTGTAAACATTTTTGCTATGTATTCATTTAATTTTTTGCATTCATCGCGTTGTACATTTTGACTGTGATATACTTGATGATGAATTTTTAATTCGAAACCGGTCGTATAATACTTCAGGTGACGCATTTATTTATTCCAGATCTCTATACATAATTTATTTTTTATTTATGTATTTATTTACGATTATTAACCATTTTAATAATTATTTTTTTTACTTTATTATTTTATTATTATTATTATTATTTTTTTTTTTTTTTTATATATTTAGCTCATTTTTTTGCTTGTAAGAGCAGTGTATAAGTTTTGAATATTGCGTTTCGAGAGTCAGTGACCGCGCGTCTCGTCCAAGGGCAGCAAGGATACCGCGGACGTACAGGTACGCAAAAAGTATGCGTATTTACGTCCAAAACTTGTTCACGGTACACCCCGAAGCCAAGTGTGTGAAAAGTGTATCAAAATGCTATAATTTTTAATTTACTACGAACTACGCATGTTCGTTCGGATTGGACGTCTCGCGATAAATCCGTATACGGGTACGTTGTCGACGGTGGCACATCCGGCAACGCCCTAAAATAATAATTGGGCGTGTTACACGAAGTATTATAGTTTCGTTATTACAATATTATATTTTATTATAAATAAAAAAATAATCCAGTTTAATCGGAGTATTATATATAAAACTATTACCAAGGTCACGGTTACGGTCAACGTGCCGCAGTCCAGAATATTGACCGTCAACGTAACAAGCGTCGTCCGCAAGGTCGACCGCCTCCGGGACGCCCGGACTTTTGACCGTTCGAAACCGGCGACGCCCTTTTCGGTGGTAGGCCGTAAAAAAAGATCGCGATAACAGTCACCGGGCATCACATTTTCGTAAAAATACACATTTACTTGCCCGAGTCCTAAAGTCGACCGCAGGTTGAAGTTTGTAGATCGCCGTTGTAGTAAACGCAGCAAAAAAAAACGCCGCCAAACTCAAAATGGCTTCTTTCAAGAATCCGGTAAGTGGACGGTTTTGACTACGTGCCATTACAATACACGATGATTGCGTTTATCTGCATCTAAAAATCGGACGGTAGTAATTATTTCCGAAATAAAGTTAGAGTGGGTCTACCGCAGTATGGGCATATCATTTATTGACGATGAATACGTTTCTACCGAACAGTCACAATCATCGCCGGTAATGCTAATGGGCAAACAAAATGGCAACTTCATGATATACGATTTAAATTGGTCGAGTGCAAGGGGAAGATCGAGAATTCTCACCCGACCGTACAATTATTATTATCAATTTTATCTTGCACAATTCATTATAACATAGATTTTTTTATTGTATCCCGGCAGATATTCGTCGCCTTGGTCGTCTGCGCCGTCGCCGCCGAAGAAGCAAAACCTAGCGATGACGGAGCAAGAGTAAAGAAACAAGCTTTCATCGCCGCCGTCCCTGCTCGTAAGCATAACACATTTTATGATGATCTACTTGAAAATATTTTTTGGTATAATACAAAACAATGTTTGTTTACATCGAGCCGTTTTTTTTTCGTTTTTTTTTTTCCAGCGGTTCTCGCTTACTCCGCTTCCGCCCCGGGATTCTTCTCGTACGGATACTCCACGTACGGCGCCTACCCGTACGCCTATCCTGCTCCGTTACCGTACGCGGCAAAGGCCGCTTATGCCGCTTACCCGGCTTACCCCGCTTACGCCGAAGACGACGGTAGCTACTGGCCCGGCAAGTACGAGAAGACCTACGTCCCAGCTCCCTACCCGACCGTCTACCACTACTGAACCGCACCGTCCCGTCAACTATTCTCAACGTCTCGCCTACAATAAATAATTATTATTACTTACCCGTATCGTTATATGATACGTTTTTTTTGTTTCAACAATAAACGTGTGATCTTTTTATCAATCCGTAAATTTATTCTTATTCATTTATCTGCCCTTTTACACATCAGTGTCGTGACCTATAGGTATTACATAATATATTTTCTTAAATAATCCTTGTATTAATAATAATATTGTACTGATTTTCCCGTTTTTTTTACGTATTTCCCTATGTTTTTTTCCGGTTTTTCACATTATTACTGCAAAAACTATTGTAAAAATCAAAATAATACCTCCTGAATGACCTTTCGATTGCTTTCAAAAAAGGTGCTACACTTATAAATCGGAGGAAAATTTTTTGAAGAAAAGTTGCACACCGATAAAAAAAAAAACTAACATCTTTGTAAAACCATAAGCTTCTTCGCTCCACTCAAAATCTAAAACAATATCATTCTTTAAAGCAAGCAGGTAATATTCTAAAAATAAACCTGTAATGATAAATAAGATTATTTTTAGAACTAAATATAGATGATATTATTCAAAAATTTAGATGCTGTATAGTTTATTCGTCAGAAAGTTTTCACGAATTTTATAAATTTGATTGTGGGTAATTAATACGAGTATTTTAATGTATATAAGGTTTAACAGCATTTACTTTAATTAGGTCATTTTTCGATTTTTCATCAAATGCGAAAAATCGAAAGAAAAAAACAGAGCAATTTATGAAACATAATAAATGTAATCTTACAATTTATTTTTATTTTACTTATTATAAATATCTACCCAATGCACGTTATCCACACTATCCATTTAACCATTATTAGAGAGACAAAAATTAATCCGTTTGAAATGTTCTTATACAATCTTTTAATACTATATCTACTGTTTTAATAAATCTTAATCATAAATTAGTAGTATATTAAAATATAGGCATACATTATGACTAGAGACATAAAATACACTTGAAATCCACGAAAAACCGTTTAAAACGCCAAAAAAAAAAAACAAAAAAAAAAAATATTTAAAAATCATAATATAATATTTGTTTATTTTTCGATTCGAAGCGCAGCGAGGAAAGTATTGGTTTTGTAATGATGTATTTAATTTTTTTCTATCTGTGTGGTTTTTATAATAATGGGAAAACGGAAAAATTTACTAAAATAATTCTCAGTTTTTTTTTATTGGTGTAGTTCAGTTAAAAATGTTCATAGACTTGAAATTTAAATACTTATATTTGCCTTTTCTATAAACGGTAAAATGTTCAAAATATTTGAGCGATTTTTGAGTTTTTTGTAGACATCTTAATATATAATCTTAATTTATAAGTTTTTAGGTAATTTTCAGGAAAATCAAACATTTTAACCCTGAGCTTGATTTTCATAGTAAATATGTGCCTTATATGGACATAACAGTCGTAAATACTGTTTTGAATTGTAATAAAAAAAAAATAATGTTGTGTGGGATACTGATTAAATATGCTATTGTGGATATTATAATTCATAATCATATAGCTGATATTATACAAAGATATTATAGTCTAGTAGAGGTATTACAGATAAAAATATGTAAATATTTTTATTTTAATAAAATATATTTATGGATTTTACTGTATTATATTATATAAATTGTATAAAATGGAAATTTTTCCTTGTAAGACAAAACAGAGATGCTTGGAAATTCAACAGAAGTTTCATTATAAAGTCGTAAGTAGTAATTCAAAAAATAAATTGAATTTGATGCAATTCTTTTTTTTATAAGAATTTGTATTTTAAATATTGACGATAATTTTAAACTTACATCCTTTCAAAACACATGTAACTGAACTTCACTCCGCATCGATTTATATTAACAATGTTTTATCATTGGTTACGGCTGTTACAGGTAAAAATTAAAGAAATGTGTGTCCCACCTTTCCAAATAACCACCTACAATAGTGGTCGCATAAATCCTAATTCTTTAGTAACAGTTCGTTTTTTTGTATCTACATAGGTAATTGAAGTTTTTGGTAATTTTATTTATATTATATTTTAATATTTGGCTATACATTTTCGTAGTGTATTATGAACACATGTAGAAACCCAGAAAATAATTGTACGTAACGTAAAGTTTTTGACAGTAAATACTCAGACCAAAATTTCACAAACCGTATAGTTTAAGACTGTATTTTGTTAGGCCTAATAGTCCCCGACCGTATTATTACGGACATTTATTTTTTGTGCACCGTATTGTTCCAAACTGTATTTTTCCCGAATTTGATAATTTCCATACCGTATTTTTATCGAACGTCAAAATCCGAAAATTCACAAACCGTTTAATACCAGACCGTATTCCGCTAAAAAATAAATACCCTGAACGTATAATAACCGACAATTATGCAACGGACGGTTTTTTTCCCAAAAAAAATTAGTAAACTATTTATATCGACCGCAGTGGTCCAGAATGTAAATACTCCGGCCGTATTATGGCAGGTAAGAAATAAAAAATTCAACCCTGGTAACACCGGATTTTTACGGTCGGTAAAAAAACGGTATGAAAGTAATCAATTTCGGGAATAATACGGTTGAGGTCTATACAGTCGGAGAATAATACAGTCCACGTATTTTTTTTTTTTTGGCAAAAAACATTCTGGAACTATACGGTTTGTGAATTTCCGGATTTTTACATTCAATGAAAATACAGTTTTAAAATTTCAAATTCCGGAATTAAACTTTCTTTTACTATAAAGTTCGTACATTATTTTTAGATAATTAGACGCATTACTTTCTTTTAGCCATTATATTATATATTTATTTCTCTAAACAAAACTGTTAAGATTCAGAAAAATTGTAAATATTGGAGTATTACAAGAAAAAATCAATAATTCTTAAGGTAAAAAGAATGAAAAAAAGATGCAGCTAGTTTTGTCAGCCAAAAAAAATTTACTAATACGTTTTGTTTGTATACATATTATATAAATAATAATATGTAGACATCAAACTACCACGACCGAAAATCGACCGCCATCGCACGTGGATCTCATTCCGAAGGTCAACCGGCCGACGACCGAGACGACGGCATATAAACTTTTAGAATTTTGAACGGGCAACGCCCTAGCGTCAGTGGGAAGAAGGGGCTCGCAAACGCCCATCACTCTATAGATTCCGAACTAAGTGGGTATATATAAGGACCGTGACACCAGGCAACGGCATCACACTCGAATCCCCAAGTAGACCGCAGGTTGAAGTTTGCAGATACACTATAAACACAACAAGAAAAACAGCACAATTCGAAATGGCTTCTTTCAAGTGTCTGGTGAGTGACTTTAACGTCGTAGTATTATTTTGATTATTTTTCCCATCATTATTACCTATATTTTTAGTACACTATCGTGTAATTATAATACCTCAATTCCGAATTTAAAACACGTAGACAACAAAAGGTGTATATTATATTTCAGAATAATTTCCAATTTTTGATACAATACTCATTTCTAATTTGTCCCAATACAATTATCTATAGTCTATACGCAACTTATAGAAACATAATGAACCTATTTAACGGTTCAGACTTATTAGAAAATTAGTTTAATGATGGCGACCACCTCTTCAGCCAAAAGCGATGATTTCTTCTCCTTCTTAGGTAATATTGCAGCTGTGAGACCTTCCCAGCACACAACCTCGCCACCAGTTTTCTAAATCCGGAACGTGTTTATTAGTCCAAACCTTCACCAAAGGCTCTTTCATTTTCCCTTATACTGACATTGTCCCATTGTATAAGTGATTTTTCGAGAGTTCGTTTCTCAAATAGATTTTCCTAATGCACTACCCGTATGAGTGGCTGGAATGATCATTTATATTAAATTGTATTTAATAACGATCGTGGATATTTTTGTCTTGACAGATATTCATCGCCTTGTGCGTCTACACCGCCGCCGCCCAACATGTGGAACCCACCGAAGACGGAGCAAGAGTAAAGAAACAGACTTTCATCGCTCCGGCTCGTAAGTATAGGATATTATTATTTTCCGTGTTTCGGCAAGTCCTACTTCTGAACTCGTGTTATTCAATATATTTGTATCACATAAATGCATCGAATAAGATTATTTTTGTATCTTTTTTAAGCGATTGTGGNAAGCCGCTTACGCCGCATACCCCGCTTACCCGGAAAAAGCCGTTTACGCAGCTAAAGCCGCATACCCGGCTTACGCTAACGACGACGGTAGCTACTGGCCCGGCAAGTACGAAAAGACCTACGTTCCAGCTGCCTACCCGACCGTCTACCATTACTGAACAGCATCATTCCGCCAACGGTTCTCAATCTCAACATCTCACTAATGAATAATTATTAAAACTGCCCGTATATTTTTCAAATGTAATTTACTTATTTTTCAACAATAAACACTTGTGATCATTTTTCTTTTTATCATTCGGTTTTTCTTTCTTCATTCATCTCCTCTGCGTTCAAGTCCTATGCAACGGATACTAAAACTGAAATTATTGCAGTTTTACCAAGGTGTACAAAATTGTATTATTATTCAATAAATCATTAGATAAGGTACAATATGACTGCAATACAATCCCACCGAAAGCACTTCAATAAACCTTTGTGTAAAGTACATAAAAAAAAAAAAATAACTGTACTAGGATAATATGGACGGGTGCAGCCACTGTTATAGGTCATTTAATGTATATCCGTAGACAACGATAAATCATTGGGAATAAAAAAAAACGATTCTGTACAAGATTCCGTCGATATTGACAACAATGTATGTGTTATATTATTGTAAATAAATTAAATATACATAATATATTTTCTTAAATAATACTTGTTTAATATTGCACCGATTTTCCCTAGGTTTTTTTTTCCGGTTTTTCACATTATTTCTGCAAAAACTATTGTAAAAATCAAAAAACACCTCTGGAATAACCTTCAGATTGCTTTTAAAAAAGTTGCTACATTTAAAAATCAGAGTAAATTTTTTTGAAGAATAGTTAAGCACGGGTAAAAAAAAAAAAATTATCATATTTGTAAAACTTTAAGCTTCTTTGCTCCACTCAAAATCTAAAACAAAATCATTTTTTAAAAAAAGTAGGTTTTATTCTTAAACTATACCTGTAATGAGAAAAAGAGATTATTTTTAGAACTAAAGATATACGATATTATTCAAAAATTAAAATGCTGTGTAGTATATTCGCAGGAAGTGTTCACGAATTTTATACACTTGATTGTAAGTAACTAATACGAGTATTTTAATGTGCATACAATTTAACAAAATTTACTTTACTTAGGTCATTCTTCGATTGTCTCAATAGTTTTTTCATTAAATGCAAAAAACCGAAAAAAAAAACGGATCAATTTACGAAACATAATGAATATAATATAACAATTTATTTTTATTTTAGATATTTTAATTATCTATTCAATCGTCCGTCAACATCTCTCAGCGTCTTACCTACAATAAATAATTATTTGTTATTACCTGCCTGTATCGTTTTATGGTACGATTTTTTTATTTCAACAAATAAACATGTGATCTTTTATTTTTTTTCAATCCGTGCGTTTATTCATGTTCATTCATCTGTCATTTTACACATCACTGTCGTGACCTAAAGGTGTTACTTTTTAAAACAAAAAATAAAATCTATTCATATTCGAGAAAGGGACAATATTACATTCGGATAATAAATTAATTGGTTACAATATCGCTTCACGAAATCTATTTGAATTTATGAATTTGATATTTGGTCAAACCTAAAAACGATAATTAATTTTCTAATACTTACTTTAGGAAAGTGCATATCGTCAACAACAAAAAGTCAAGAAATACAAATTATGAGTAGTATAATATCAAAAATTACAATCGATAAACATAAATGTATATATAAAATATATTAATCTAAAAAAAAAAAATATATATATTTGTTCCAAACAAATAAATATAAAAAAATAAATAAGCAATGCCTAAGTACATTCTATACCTATTATACAAATGTTAATATATTTCGATTTAATAAAACCATCATAAATTAGATAATAAAATAACAAAAGTGAAAACAATGAAATTATTTTAAATTAAATATAAATCGATTTTTATTTAGAAAATGTATTCTTTTTTATACACGGTAAAATGTTAAAAATATTTGAGCGATTTTTGAACTATTTGTAGACATCTTAATTATGTGAGTTTTTTAGATAAATTTTATTCAAAATACTACTGTGAATAAAATTGGTAGACCAGAAAGAAATGCTTGAAAACAGGAGGTATTTATTATAATAGTTGTACATAGTAGTCAACAAGAAAAATCTGAGTAAATGTGAATTTTTCTGTCAAATTCGTTATGATGAAAATCGATATGTCTATTAAAACATGTATAACCGAACATCGCTAAGAATCATTTGTTATTAGCAAATATTATCAGTTGCGTACGGATTAACATCAACGGATCATACATTAAAGTCGCCTCTTTACCAATTTCTTACGTACAAGAATGTCCGTAGAATATTTATTTCCTGCATCTTTTGTTTAAATAGTAGGTAGGTATGTACGTCTTAATGTCGGTAATCCATAAATTATATTAAAATATATACTATATTATCGAGTAAAAAAAAGAATATTCATCAAATATTCTTTTTTTTTTCATTTTTTAAATTTTCTAGGGGTTTTCATAATAAATTTAAAAGACTGGGAAATATTGAAACAATTTAAGAAATTAATATTTTTATAATTTAAAATGTTTTTTTTGTTTGTAATGACAGATGGTTTGTTATAAGTTGTACTTAGTGGCCAACAAGAAAAAATTGTGTTAAATTTAACATATATTTTTTTTTTGTAAGAATTTAAATAGCAAATTTTTGATAGAATT